TGCAGCTCAATAACAAAAAAACAACCCAATCCAAAAATGGGCAGAAAACCTAAATAGACATTTCTCCAAAGAAGATATACAGACTGCCAACAAACACATGAAAGAATGTTCAACATCATTAATCATTAGAGAAATGCAAATCAAAACTACAATGAGATACTATCTCACACCAGTCAGAATGGCCATCATCAAAAAATCTAGAAACAATAAATGCTGGAGAGGGTGTGGAGAAAAGGGAACACTCTTGCACTGCTGGTGGGAATGTGAATTGGCACAGCCACTATGGAGAACAGTATGGAGGTTCCTTAAAAATCTACAAATAGAACTACCATATGACCCAGCAATCCCACTGCTGGACATATACCCTGAGAAAACCATAATTCAAAAAGAGTCATGTACCAAAATGTTCATTGCAGCTCTCTTTACAATAGCCAAGAGATGGAAACAACCTAAGTGTCCATCATCGGATGAATGGATGAAGAAGATGTGGCACATATATACAATGGAATATTACTCAGCCATAAAAAGAAAGGAAATTGAGCTATTTGTAATGAGGTGGGTGGACCTAGAGTCTGTCATACAGAGTGAAGTAAGTCAGAAAGAGAAAGACAAATACTGTATGCTAACACATATATATGTAATTTAAGAGAAAAAAAATGTCATGAAGAACCTAGGGGTAAGACAGGAATAAAGACACAGACCTACTAGAGAATGGACTTGCGGATATGGGGAGGGCGAAGGGTAAGCTGTGACAAAGTGAGAGAGTGACATGGACATATATACACTACCAAATGTAAAATAGATAGCGAGTGGGAAGCAGCCGCATAGCACAGGGAGATCAGCTCGGTGGTTTGTGACCACCTAGAGGGGTGGGATAGGGAGGGTGGGAGGGAGGGAGACGCAAGAGGGAAGAGATATGGGAACATATGTATATGTATAACTGATTCACTTCGTTATAAAGCATAAACTAACACACCATTGTAAAGCAGTTATACTCCAATAAAGATGTTAAAAAAAGAAAAACAAAAGAAAATTACTCCTAAGTATGTTATTGTTTCGATGCTGTTGCAAATAGGATAGTTTCATTTCTTTTTCATATGTTTTCTCCTTAGTGTGTAGAAATCCAACTAATTTCTGTATGTTGATCTTGTATCCTGCAACTTTACTGACATCATTGATTAGTTCCAACAGTTTTTTAGTAGAGTCTTTGGGATTATCTTTATACAGGATCATATCACCTTCATTTCTATATACAGGAAGAGTAACTTATTTTTCCCCAATTTGGATGCCTTTTATTTCTTCGTCTTGCCTAGTTACTCTGGCTAGGGCTTCCAACACTATATTGAATAAGAATGGTGAGAGTGGACATCCTTGTCTTATTCCTGATCTTAGAAGAAAAGCTTTCAATCTTTCTCTATTGAGTATAATGTTAGGTTTGCATTTGTTATACATGACCTTTATCATGTTTAGGTATGTTCCTTCTATACCCAATCTGCTAAAGGTTTTTATCATGAAAGGATGTTGTATTTTGTCAAATGGTTTTTCTGCATCTATTGAGATGATCACGTGACTTTTATCTTTCATTTTATGAATATATATTGTGTTTATTGATTTGCATATGTTGAACCATCCTTGCATACAAAGCATAAATCCCGCTTGGTCATGGTGTACAATCCTTAAGAGTTCTTGAATTCAGTTTGCTGATACTTTGTTGACACTTTTTGTTCCTGTATTCATCAGGGGTATTTATCGTTTTCATTTCTTGTGGTGTCCTTATCTGGCTTTGGCTTCAGGGTAATGCTGGCCTCATATCAGTAGAATCAGTTTGGAAGTATTACCTTCTCAAATTTTTGTAAGAGTTTGGGAAGGACTGATGTTGATTATTCTTTGAATGTTTGGTAGAATTCGCCAGTGTAGCAATCTGGTCCTGGGGTTTTCTCTGTTGGGAAGTTTATGATTACAGACTTAATCTAGTTGGCTATTATTATTCTGTTCATATTTTCTATTTCTTCCTGATTTAGTCTTTTTTTAATTTATATTTTATATTGGAGTGTAGTTGATTAAGAATGTCGTGTTAGGGGCTTCCCTGGTGGCGCAGTGGTTGAGAGCCCACCTGCCGATGCAGGGGACACGGGTTCGTGACCCAGTCCGGGAGGATCCCACATGCTGTGGAGCGGCGGGGCCCATGAGCCATGGCCACTGAGCCTGTGCATCCGGAGCCTGTGCTCCGCAATGGGAGAGGCCACAACAGTGAGAGGCCCGTGTACCGCACAAAAAAAAGAATGTCGTGTTAGTTTCAGGTGTACAGCAAAGTAGTTCAGTTATACATATACATGTGTCTATTCTTTTTCAAATTCTTTTCCCATTTACGTTATTACAGAATATTGAGCAGGTCCTTGTTGTTATCTATTTTAAATATAGTAGTGTGTATATGTCAATCTCAAACTCCCAATTTTTCCCTCCCCTTTGGTAACCATAAATTTGTTTTCTGAGTTTGGGAGTCTTTCTGTTTTGTAAATAAGGTTCATTTGTATCATTTTTTTTTTTTTTTAGATTCTGTATATAAGAGATATCATCTGATATTTGTCTTTCTGGGCTTTTAAAAAGTATTTATTTATTTACGCTGCACTGGGTCTTAGTTGCAGCGTGTGGTCTCTTAGTTGTGGCATGCGAACTCTTAGTTGCGACACATGAGATATCTAGTTCCCTGACCAGGGATCAAACCTGGGCCCCCTGCATTGGGAGCTCGTAGTCTTACCCAGTGGACCACCAGGGAAGTCCCTTTCTCTGTCTGACTTTACTCAGTCAGTATGACCATCTCTAGGTCCATCCATGTTGCTGCAGATGGCATTATTTTGTTCTTTTCTATGGCTGAGTAATATTCCATTGTATATATGTACACATCTTTTTTTTTTTTTTTTACGGTACGCGGGCCTCTCACTGTTGTGGCCTCTCCCGTTGCGGAGCACAGGCTCCGGACGCACAGGCTCAGCGGCCATGGCTCACGGGCCCAGCCGCTCCGTGGCATGTGGGATCTTCCCGGACCGGGTCACGAACTCGCGTCCCCTGCATCGGCAGGCGGACTCCCAACCACTGTGCCACAAGGGAAGCCCTGTACACATCTTCTTTATCCATTCCTCTCTTGATGGATATTTAGGCTTCTTCCATATCCTGGCTATTGTAAATAGTGCTACAATGAACATTGGGGTGCGTGTATGTTTTCAAATTATGGTTTTCTTTGGGTAGGTGCCTGGGCATGGGATTGCTGGGTCATACAGTAGTTCTATTTTTAGTTTTTTAAGGAACCTCCATACTGTTCTCCATAGTGGCTGTACCAGTTTACATTTCCACCAACAGTGTAGGAGGGTCCCCTTTTCTCTACACCCTCTCCAGCATATATTATTTATAGATTTTTTGATGATGGCTATTCTGACCAATGTGAGGTGATGTCTCGTAGCTTTGATTTGCATTTCTCTAATAATAATTAGTGATCTTGAGCATCTTTTCCTGTGCTTTTTGGCCATCTGTGTGTCTTCTTCGGAGAAATGTCTATTTAGATCTGGGTTGTTTTTGATTGGGTTGTTTTGTTTGTTTTTGATATTGAGTTGCATGAGCTGTTTGTATATTTTGGAGATTAATCCCTTGTCGGTAGCATCATTTACAAACCCCATTCTGTGGGTTGTCTTTTCATTTTAAATATTTTAAATATAGCAGCATGAATGCATCAATCCCAAACTGCCAACTTATCCCTCCCCTTTGGTAACCAGAAGTTTATTTTCTTAGTCTGTTAGTCTGTTTCTGTTTTGTGAATAGGTTCATTTGTATATATTTTTTTTTTTTAGATTCTGCATATAAGTGATATCATATATTTGGAGTGATTATTGATGTCACTCCTTTCTGTCTCCTTTCTTTTTTTTGTTTCTGTCTACCTTTGTAAAGTGGTGGTTTTCCTTAGTGATTTGCTCAGTCTTCCCCCACTCCCTTTTTTTTTTTTTTTTTTTAATGTTTCATGCCTCTAGATTTTTGTTCTGTGGTTACTTTGTGGCTTATAATATATCTCATAGGTAAAATAGTCCTTTTCATGCTGTTGATAGCACCTTGTTTTCATTCGCCTATAAAGATTCAACCCTTTTTACTCCTCCCCTTTTATACTTTTGATGTCCCAATTTTACCTCTTTTTATGTGTACTTTCATTGTTTTTTATGTCACTAATTAGCATCATTCTGTTTCAGCTGAAGAACTCCTTTCAGCATTTCCTGCATGGCAGGTTTTGTTTGTCTGGGAAAGCCTTTATTTCTCCTTCATAGCTGAAGGTCAACTTCGCTGGATAAAGTATTCTTGGCTGGCCGTATTTATCTTCAACACTTTGAATATGTCGTTCCCCTCTCCTGGCCTATAGAATTTCTGCTGGGAAATCCATTGATAGCCTTGTGGGGATTCCTTTGTAGGTTACTATTTTTTTAACCCCTGGATGCCTTTAAGGTTTTTTCTTTTTTTTCTTTGATTTTTGACAGTTTCATTATAGTGTGTTTTGGAGGTCTTTTTGCATTGAGATAATAGGGTGTCCTGTTAGCTTATTGGACTTTTATATCCCTTTCCCTCCCCAGGCTTGGGAGATTCTCAGCTATTATTTTTTTAAATACACACTCTCTGCTCCCCTCTCCCTCTCTGCTCCTTCTGGTAGACCATTATTCTTATATTTATTTTGTCGTCATATACGAGAGTTCTCGTAGGTTTTCTTCACTTTTTAAAAATCTTAGTTCTCTCTCCTCCTGAGTCATTTCTAAATTTCTACCCTCTGAGTTGCAGATTCTTTCCCAGATCTCATCTGCCTTATTTCCTAAGCTTTCTATACATTCTTGATGTCATTCATTGAATTCTCCAGCTCCAGAATTTGTCTGGTTCTTTTTAAACATTTCAGTATATTTGGTAAACAGCACCTTACATTCAGTAAATTTATTTCTATATTCTTGAATTGCCTGAGTTTTCTTGTAGCTCAGCAAATAAATCCTTCATCACAGCTGTTTTTAATTCTTTATCAGGTCACAGTATACTGTGCCTTTGGGTTCAGTTGCTGGAGAATTAGTTTTTCTCATTGTGATACCGTATCACTGTGATTTTTCATAGTGCTTGGTAAAATGTGCCCCTGCCATTGAGTTTGAAGTAGCACACATTTTTATTAGTTGCTTACTTTGTTCAACACTGGCAATTAGAAACCTTGCTTTTATTCTCCAGAAGGTGGCACCATAGCTCAAGTTTTCGGTTTCTCTACCTGAGCTGGCTCTGGGGCTGTGCTAGGGAGTGCCTGTGAAAAAGCTGGCAGCAGAGCGGGCAAGTGTGGGCTCAGCACCTGTGGTTGCCCACAGCCTGGCAAGGAGATCCTCCACTGCGGGGAGCCCCCAGAGGGCCACGCATGGACCTCCTGCTGAAATATGAGGCAGACAGATGGCAGGGAGTGAGATACTCCAGTGCCCTTTGTTCTTGTCTCCCTCTTTCCACTTCCACTAGTCAGGGAGGTTGCTCCTGAGGAAATTGTGCTGCTGGAGAGAAAGAGGTTCCTCCAGCTGTGACCAGCCAGGCAGTCCCTTAGAGACCTCTGTGAGGGAGGTGGCTGCTGTCCCCGGCAGTGGACGCCCAGTGTGCTCCTGCTCTTTCTCTGCCTCCAAACTGGTCTCCGTCCCGCTCCCCACAGTGTGCCGGGTTCTCTGTCGGGCTGGCTGGACCTCCTGTCCACCCAGTGCTGCACCCCCAGTCTAGCTTCCCACCGCACCCACAGCGAGTGGGGCTGAGGCAGGCTCAGCAGCTCCCTTGGATCTGCAGCCCTCTCCAAGGTCCATCCATTCCGTAGCGCTTATCAGTAGAAATCTTTTGGATGTTCTGGTGTAATGTACAGAGATACTTTTGTTCAGTTATCAGTGACCCATTAGTTGTTCCTTTTTTTTCCCCTCTTTAATTTATAACTCACACTGCCATCATGCTGCCATCACTTGCTCCTCTACCTTATATCTATGCGTGTGAGTTGGGTATAATATCAATAATTTAAAATTTTCATACCCGGAGACTGAGTGCTGGTCTTGAAAGCCTAAGTTGAATGAAGTAAAAGGAAGATTCCAAATCAAACACAGTCTGTGTGTAAAGGATTGCCCAGGGGCTGCAGTACACCCGGTGGGCTGGGAGAATGTTCCTGGTTTTCAACAGAGGAAATAGCCCCTTTTGAAGCTGTTCCTTTGCATGCTGAAACAAGTATCCTCAACGTGGTGAGGGAAATTTCTAGTGCTTTCTTTTAATTCATCCCACAAACGTGCCAGCAAGGCACAATGCTAGGTTCTGGGACTAAGTGTTAAATTACTATCACACAACCTTGTATTTTAGTGCTTTTTATTTCAATTCTTTTGGTATATCTAAATGTCAGAAAGTACATATATACAAAATTCAGAACACCTTCCTAAAATGGTTTTAGTATTGGCCAGTCTCTGATATCTTTCTTTATTTTGAAAGTTTGAATTGTCAAATATATGTCGTTTGAATTGTCAAATATATGTCTAAAGTGCATTCTTGCAGCTAATCAGTAGCAGCATTTGTTTTGTTTATAAACCCTTAAATATTCAGACAGGAAGTAGAAGAGTCACAATAAAAAGCAAAGCGTGATCTAGATATATTCTTTCTTAATCAGCCAAGACAAATACATGCATGAATTAGTTTATAAGTATACAAGAAATATACAAAAAAATAGCATTATAAAAAAGTTCATACGGCATGAGAAAGAGAGGTGTCTTTCTCTGTTATTAATATTAAATATGGCAAGGTGTATAATATAACAAGTTTGTAGAATCCTAGATATCTTTGGAGCCATAGGGGAATCTTTATGTAGGCCAGTGTATGATGACATATCTGAGGTCTGTGGTATTCAACAAAGCTGGAGTTCTACAAGATGATTCATTCAGAAGACTCCTTCTGGCATTGCTTTGGAGAAATCACCAACACAAATGAAAATGTTCTTTTGTTATTGGGACTGTCATTCATGGCTTCTTGCGCCTAAAATGAAAAAAAATGAAAACCAGCATTTAGTGCTGAATTTTGCAATGAATCTCTAGGAGGGCTTTGAGAGAATTCCTGTTTTATCATGGGAAGAGTTAAAAGTCCTTCTAAGAAAGCAAATAACTTATAAAATATGCTTATCTAGTATTTAATTTAAAAAACAACTTTCCATCTTTATCCTGTTGCACTGATTTCACAAACTGCCTGAGGAATACATGTGTCAAAAATGGACACATGGACCTGTATAGGTAGATATTTGAAAAGCAGCAGGTTTGATTAGTATGGGGAGAAAAAGGGGCCATAAATTCTGCCATTCCGTTTTATTTTAGTGAACACTTCTTGCTGTAACAAGAGGGGAATTAGGAAAGAATGGATTACAGGAGGAGCTGCCATCCCTGACTCCAGCCTCCCCTCCTTAGAGGTGATCTCAGTTCAGCCTCTGAAAACTTGATGAGCACAGGCAAAAATAGGAACAAGAGCGAATGTTCTTACAGCTCTAATTGCTCTTATTCGGCACCCCCGGCCCCCGGGTTCTCAGCACTGCTACTGCCTAGCGTAGTCTGCCAGTAGGGCCCAGATATTCCAACAGGCAAACAAAAACCACATCGGTCCTCAAAAAAAAAGTGGTTGGTAGGGAGAAGGGGTGGTGGGGAGGGAAGACACAGAGAAAGGCCACACGTGGTCAGTACTCACTTGGGTTGTGCGTGGTGCTGATACCCAGGCCCCAGCTGAGACCCTGCTCTCATCTCTACAGCCACAGAACACTGAGAGAAAAACCACAGAGAGGAAAGATCAGCTCCTCTCTGCAGTCTATTAAACAGATCTATTTAGATAGATTCAACCAAGGTGAAATCCAACATTGCTTTCTAGTCCAGCACAGATACGTATGTTAAAATACCAATCAGGTACTTGAAATTTATTTGATGTGCCACAAAAATTGTGAGGTGGAAGGGTCTTTAGAGATCATCCAGGTAAATCTCATTTTCTATCAGGAAGAAGAAAGTGGCAAAGGCTAGAGCTTGGCCAGCTGACCCCCCCACCTTCCCAGAATAACAGTTCCACAGGGAAGTTCTTCTCCTGAGAAGATTCCCATCAGTTTGATGGGCGTTCTTGTTATTCTAGGGTGATGCTCTCTGATTTGACTCTTGGGCCCTATCCCTCTACACTAAAAACGGGCTTTGAGCTAAAGAGCTCCAGTAAAACCAGAGCAGAAATACAAATACCTTCTCAGATGTGCTGGGGACAGGCCTACAGGCTGCGCTGGCCATGTGGGATCAGACCTTAGTTGTTTGTTTCAAAGAGCATGAAAAGCTACAGCTGTAGGCCTTAAAATATGACATCCCTATAGCAAATACTTTTTACTCCTACCCTTGTTTCTACGTCGGTCCATTCAGACTCTGTTCCATCTGGTTGGGCAGGTGCTATTGTGGAAGATCTTCGTTTTCGACTACAGAAAAAGGGAAAACACAATGCAACAGAAAATAAGAATAGGAAATATTTTAGAAATAGGGAAATACCATATATACTCCTTCAGAGAACTGATACATTTTACAGGCTAGTCTGTTCCTCAAGAATGAGCAGCTAAGAAAATGACAGCCCTCTAAAGAAAGGAATTTGATGATCACTCACCCAGTTGGTGATTCTTGTTTCAAAGTCTCAATTTCAGTAAACTGGACGGATTGTCCACCACCCCTTGTTTTATAAACATCACCCTACAGCCAAGAGAAAAGGTCACCATTTACACGTTTTTATACATCCAAAGGGTAAACATACTTATATATTTCAAATTAAATTTAAGACTCTACTGTTTTATGGAAACTCCCATCCACAAAACCAGATGGTGCTTAGACTGCTGGGTCTGTACCGTTAAAATACTTTAAAGATTTGTGTACATATCTCTCACTAAACAAAGAAGTCCAATGTAATATAATTAGTAGCATTCTTAATTGCAGAAAATAACATTCCTTTTTATTCAACCTATAATTTAAAAACTACACTAGAGATCAAGAAATCTGTCAGAAATTTCTAAATGTTAGAAGGCAATATACTTTCTTCTCTGGATGTAGCCCTCCTCTCATATTCAAATAACAGTACAGTTGTTTTTGTTTTTGTTTTTGTTTTGCCGCACTGTACAGCTTGTGGGATCTTAGTTCCTGGTCCAGGGATCGAACTCGGGCCCTCGTCAGTGAAAGCGCAGAGACCTAACCAAGGACTGCCAGGCAGTTCCCTCAAGTGACAGTACAGTCAAAGGTAGGAGTTCCTTGTTTGGTTTACTTCTTAAGTAGGGGTTAAAACAAAACACATATTAATTAAAAGTACATAATACATCTGGAGCTCCTCTAACAAACCCGAGGCTCTAAGCCTCATTTGACAGAAAGTCGCGGATTTAGTTCCAACTCAGCAGATTCATAATCTAAGTAGTTACTTTAGTTTTCTAACAAACAGAGGTTTTATCAAATACCCATTTAAGTTCCTGTTGACACAGAGGAAGAGTAAATGGTTTTTTGTTAAGCTTTTTGAATATTTCCTTCTCTTGTGTAAATTTTTTACCTTAATTAGCTTAGTTTCAATCTCCCCATCGGAGGCTAGTTCCTGGTGGGTCAGCATGTACTTCTCACACTTAGCTAGTGCCTTTTCATTTGCAACAGATACAGTGATGGCGTGAGGGACCTGTGGCTGCATGACTGTCTCAGTTTGCAGGTTAGAGGCAGGCTTATGAGCTACCCATCTGTCTCCCGCAGAGCGTGATCGTCTGTGTCGCAGACGAACTGGTGGTACATTCTGATCAGGTTGAAAGAGGAATCAAGAAACAAGCATAACCCAGAATTAACTTAAGGGTGCTATTAGAAGTGCAGCAGTTTAGGCTACATTAGTTGGTGACAACATCAAAACAAATGCATGAACCTTTTCAAAAGCTAAACGTTACTCAAACAATTTAAATGTCCTCTTTGTATTTAAACAAAACCAACGAACATCCTTTAACACCAGCTTGTGTATATGTATTATATATTCTACTAGGGAGCTTCCCTTTCAACAAAGAATGGAAGGAAAAGTTCTGGTAATGCCGCTAGTCTTTCCTGCATAGGTGGTATTCAGGACAAGTAATTCATTTTTGCATTCTTAATCAAAAACCAGTATTTGTGCCTGCTATTGTGAGGTAATCTGTTAGGTCCATGACTATGTTAAAAGCTTCAGAAAGACCAGCAGAAGCCCTAAATATATCATAAGCCTCTAAACAAAAGAGAAAATACTCCTATTACAAACCAGGACCCTCCCCAAAGCTGGTGGAGCTGTAGACTACAGAATGCTAAAGGGACATAAGGTATAATGAGAACCTTGTGTATAAAATGATTAAAAGAATGTAAATAAAATACTTCTGAGTACTATTAAAAATCTCAAAACAGAACTTTTTAAAAAGTTCAAAAGCAATAAATGGCTAAAACATACCAACTTTTTCCCCCAAACGTTTCATAAAGGTTCCAAGAACTAGATATAGAATATACTGTCACATCAGCCTCTATCATACAATAAAAAAACTAGATGCTTCCAGTAAAATGTTATATAACTTTAGGACAGTTAAATTTAGCACATTCAGCCTAAGGGGGGAAAAAAATCACATACAGAACACAGTTAATAGTTTCTTTGTAACTTTGCAAACATCTTTCTGTTTACAAAACTGAAAGGAAATGCAACAGTCTGCCACAGCCCAAATCCTTCAAAGCTGGTCAAGTAGGAACATCTAATTTAAAATGCGTATGGGGAGAACTGAAGTGTTTTTCCCTGTACAAGAAACAAATGAAGCACTAGTGACAAATCACGATACTGAAACATGGGCAATAGAGTTTGCCACTCTGGATGCCCAAACCTCACAAGCAGCAGGAAACTTCCCATTCTTAAAATAGCTTAATGTTGAAAAGGAAGAATGTGGCTCTCATGTCCTACCATTTAATTTAGCAAAGGTGACAGATTTCTCAAACACACTTAGCAATAAATACATTCTGAAACAAGCTTTGGAAAGATGACAGTCCTTACATTCTACTATCGTTTATGAGATAAATGATATTTTAAATTTCTTCCCCAATGAAGTATTATAAATTCAGTCCACCTGACCTAATTTTTGACCAACAAACCTAGATGCATAGATACTAGCCTAAACTTTTCTCTGCTGCACTTCTAAAGAGATTTTGATTTCAAGTGAAGTTAAAGGACCTCTAGTAAATCCTCTTAAATATCTCATAGCCAAATTAGATATTATATTAATGTTGACCAGGCATAAGCAGGCCTTGAATAGTTTTCAGTCTGTAGACTTGCATGAAATAAGGGGGATTTATTAGAGTTGATCAGAAAGACCAGCCACCATGATTTGCTCCCTAAAAAGGTTTAAAGCAAAATCTGCAAAGTAAGGAACTTAAGCGACTTTAGAATTATCAGTTGCCTTGGTAAATACCTTGTAATTCCCTTAATAATCAGGAATGCAGGCCACCTGAATGAAGTTTTTCTGCACCCTAAATTATACAAGAAAATCTAAAGCAAACATTTACTGTAAGATTAAGTTGTTTAGAAGAGAAATTCTTAAAGAGATATATTAAAATTTTACTAAATGTAAATTCACGATATTTGTCCACTTACTCAGATTCAAAGGAAAACTTTACCTTAATCCTTAAGAAGAAAATATAGACATGAATTTGTTTAAACACCCTTGGATGAGGCAGAGCCCTTGTAAATTGAAATAAAGGCCTTGAGATTAAAAGCAATGTATTGGAGATGGAAACCTTCCTTCAGCAGTTATAAAACAGCTGGCCTGGGCTCTTCAAAAAATAGTCAATGTCATGAAAATCAGAAAAGGGGAGGATGGACTATTTTATATTGAAAGAGATTAAAGAGAGATAATAACCACATATAATGTATTCACCTTGATAGGACCAAGGTTTGAAAAAAGAAAAGCCATTATTGGGACAACTGGGGAAATGTAAACATGAACTGTAAGTTAGAAGGTACTTTTCAGGGTTAACGCTTTCTTAGGTGTGATGAAGATTGTGGTTATGTAGGACACGAAGCCTATGACTTACTGTCAAAGGTTCAAGAAAAAAAGTATTTACAAATCTATTTTTCAAAATAAAAGTCTGGGAAAGCAATTTTAAAAATGAAAGTTCGAAAAAAGTCTAATTTGGGGAAGAGAAACCAAAATCAGAAGGATGTGCTCTAAGACACTCAGTCACTGACTCTGTGGATGCTCATCAGTTTATGCACATCCATGTGACTCTGGAATGTGCCCCGAGGACCTGCTTTCACTGAACAGGAGGCAGTATTTCTGTGCCAAATGGGTTTAGGCTTTTTCAGATGAAGAGCTAGGCCTCAATTTCAGGGTGATTTGATCTTCCAAACTAACAGAAAAATTAGACCTTGTTTATATTAACGCTCACCCATCTTTCCATTGAACTTTCTGAAGCAAGTTAGTTAAAAAAAACACAGAAGATTAAAATCTATTGCTACAATGCTTTAAAATAAGACTGGCACTAACCCTGCTGCAGTGATCCTCTTCTATTTCTATCTCATTTCTGAGTGAAGGAACCACCTCCCTGCCTTCAGTCCAGTACATCCCTCGCCTTCTGTCTGACACGATACAAGTTTTACTTTGTCCTGGCTCCTGCTGCCTACGCCTTGCAATAGATGTGACATTGAGAGGTGTGTTGTACGAAGGAATTTTCTGCTCCCATTCCGAAATACAGGAAGCTACAGAAATGCTGCTGCAAGAGTTAGAGCACCTATGTAGCTGTGGCTGGCTCATGAGTTGCTGGCCGTTGGAAATCTGAGCAATACAGTTACTAGAAGGCTAAAAAAATTGAAGAGAAGTTAATGAGCAAGACTTGAAAAAGGGAAACAATTCATTACTTTAATATTAGCACAGGAAAACATAGTTTTTGTACTAAATTACTAGTTTTTATCCTAAATTTGTGTTTATACTAAATTTGAAAATATTTATAAATAGAAATTTGAGAAATACAATAATATAAAAAAAATTGATTCTCACAGAAATAGTCACCTAATCTGAACAAACCTCTAGTACTACCAAGTTACTACACAACTACAAGTAACTTACCGGTACTGGTGATGGAGAAACAGATCTTTGAGTAGCTTTTTCTCGATCGCGCTCCCGAGAGGGTCTCTCTGGCCGTTCAGTTTTGGGTTCAATAACGATAGCCTTCAGTTGTTTCAGTTTTTCATCTTTCACCCAGAGTTTATTTTGCATCTCCAGCTGTTTGGCTGCCACTCGACGCTCCTGAAGGTTGTGTATGGCGATAAATATTCTAATTCAGTTATGGCAAACAAGTGCACTAGTTTACCTGAACGCTTTACTTCCTAAAGATGACAGTTCTCCAGTTCTTCATAATGCTTGTTAATTTGTTGTGACTTGTAAGGGCAGAGGAAGGAAGAGGAACTGAATAGGGGCTGCTGTGACCACCGCCACCAAAACCCTACCCCAAGTACAAGTGATTCAGAAGGCTACAACTAGAGATGAATCATCCCTGACCTGAGCACTGTATGAATGACACTCACACATTCTTTCTCCCACTTCATGGTTGTTTCTGTCACCATGCCTTGCAGCCTGGCTTCTAGTCTGCGCTTGTCAGAGAACTGTTGCTGAAGTTTCTGATTCTGGGTTTCCAGCTCCTGTTGCAGATTGCGCTTATCTTCTTCATAGATAGTCGTTGTTTTCTCTAAAATCTCAACCTGGGAAAGTAGACCATTATGTTCAGCATTTGGTATGTAAACATTTCAAGTAGCTTTAAAATAATCTCTCATAATCTTCTTATGCAAGCATAGTTACGGGAAGAAAAATCATGGAGAAAGCATTTTTTTCTAAAACTTCATCTGAATTCCCACCTCCATTCCTAGAAATGAGAACTTCTATTCTAAACAAGTTCCTCACTGAAAGATGAAGTTATAGCTGATTTCATGTGAAAATTACTTTTCCTGAAAATTAAGGCTTAAAATTTAATTTTTAGGCTACTTTCAGAATATATTGGTTGAGATTAGCTTCTCTCTAGAATGAATGTGTACCCCCTAAGTGATCCTCAGTAAATGAGAGAACATTAGTAAGTCAAAAAGCAAGCTATAATCAAAGCTAAACCGTAGAACATTCTCTTCGATTGCTAAAGTCTATTTCATAAAATTAAGGAGTGTATTACCCCCCTTTTATGCTTTTCACTCGTATTTCCTCTTTTTGGGGATGGGATGAAGATTAGTAAATAACCAAATGATAACTCCCAGTAAGCAGCAGCTGCAGGCCAGTATAGCAGAACGGCTAGGTCAGAGACCAGTGCTAAATATACATCCATTATAATACCAAAGCCAACCTTGTATTCTAAAGTTTTGTTTTTCTTTTCCAGTCGTTCAATTTCCGATTTCTGTCCTGAGATCACCTTTTGTTTTTCACTTAGTTTTCCTTGAATGTAGTTTTCTTTATTTAAAACAGCATTGTCAAATTCTTGCAACAAAGCTTTAAAAGTAATAGCTGAAACAAGAGCATGCAGGCCAAGTTTACTCCGATTCAGAAATAACCAATGAAATCAACTTTTATGTGATGTGGGCATTTTTTCTGAGCACATTTCCTCATTTCAAAATGGGGATTTAAATACCACTTATCTCACATTTTTCTTATGAAGATGGTAAGTGTAAGTACATTCACTGAGCACTTACTATGTACCAAGCTGTTCCTGTCCTACATGATTTTCATACATTATCTCATTTATCCTTACAGCACCCTCTGAGGTAGGAGCCATGACAATCCCCATTTTGCGGATGGAAACTAGAAATAAAGGATTAAGTGATTTTCTCAAAGATAGTTATTATAATGTAATACATGTTAAATGCCTTGCAAATAAGTAACTAGTAGGAACTAAAAAGTAACTGTTATCCCTTTGATCATCACTGTTGATTTTTGAAAGGGAGAAATTCATACCCACTTTTCTCTTTTGTTTTACTTTCTTGGAATATAAAATGATGCCTTGGGGACTACTAAGTTCAGAGACAAAATAACCCTTCCTTGAAGATTCTATCCGAACAAAGAACGCAATTCCCTGCAAATTTCTGGTGTTAAAATGACTGCAGTTTTGCACTTACACTGTTTGTGAAACTCATCAATCATCATTTGTCGTAGGTGATGTCGTTTCTCTAGTGCTTCAATCAGCCTGGGAAGAGTCTGCTCGTCATTGATATCCAAAATTTCGCAGGATGGCAAAGGTGGAAAACTCTGCAAAACCACTTCTGAAACCAGCAGTTCTGTATTGAGTTATTAAAAATAAAAAGTTAGTTACACAGGAAAAAAAGTTACTCAAACAAGTTTTAACACTGTGATAAGATCCCCAGTCCAGTCAACATTGTACCTTGTTGGGCTGTCATAATACTTCCTTAAAAATGTGTTATAAAGAAGAAAAAATGAAAAAAAAGGTATATAATAAAAGAAATGTCACTTATACTTTGGTTCAGATTTTTTTTTGCCCTTGCTTTTTGAGGGAAAAGGAAGTAAACAGTTTTCTTATGTGAAACAGATTTTTTTAAAAAGAGAGAGACAGGCAGACTCATCAGTGGGCAGATGACATAACAGCAGCTCATACCATCTCCAACAGGACCTCCCCGGGCCTGGTTTCTGTATCGCCTTCCTGGCGTTAAACCACATATTGCCTTGTCTGTTGGTCTTGCTACTTCAACTTCTTGGGTCACTTCTGCAAATCTCATGACTTGCTAAGATACAAAATAAATGGGGTTTGTTTTTTTAAACAAATAAGCATATCCAAGTCTTTCTAAAGAAATTAGTAAATGAAACGGTAATAGATTGGTCATTAGTTCACTTCTGTAACTAATGGTTCTGTATCAGTTTAAAAAATGTTCAAAATGTCATTCTTCACATCCAAATCGTTGTTTTCTTTATAGAAAGTCAGACTTTATAAAGGCATTAAAATTACCAAGCTTTCTTCATAATCTTCGGCCTTTGGATTCACACACACGATCAGGCGTACTTTCCCTTCCCCATCAAAGTAGTTCTTGAACAGATGGGTTAACTTTGAATCGCGGTATGGAACCATCTATAAATATATTCAAATCCAAATACATAAGGCAGAAAATGCACACAAACAAAACTATCCAAATGTCCAAAGGCTGCTGCTTACCTTGTTAGTGCCATACGTTTGATTCTCTCTCAGGACCTCCATACACGTTCTTAGCGTCATTAGTGACTGATTAATGTTACCTGACAGAAAAATGTACACAGAAGACATTTGAAGACAACAATTGAGTAGCTAGAGTGTGGTCTGTTTGCCTATGAAATCCCTACTTCATAGAACTATTAGATGGAAATTACAAATGACAGATTTTAGTGGCTCAACTTAAAGAGCTGTCCACATCTGGCAGTGTTGCGGGAGAGGGTGAGTACCGTCCTTCAGGGACTCTATCATAAAGACTCTCCACTGAATGCAACGTTATGCTTCATGACCCATAAAGTTTCTTTGATGTGAAAGAGTGTATTAGATACAGATGTTTAATATCCTCATAATAAAATATTTTCTCTAAAGCATGACCATTTCAGGCTACAGTTGGCTCCATCCGGACACTGAAGTCTCCCCTGCACCAGGAGGAGCTCCTGTCTCTACCAGTCAAGTATCTTAAGAGCCAACTAAATCTGTTCCCTCAATGTCTAAACAAGGGTTTCTTAGGCAGCACACTTGTTAGTCCCAGCCACTCGTTTGAATTTCTCAGTCGAAGCAAGTCTGACAGATCTATCAAGCCAACAGTACAGGAGACCTCACCTGCATAGACCCCAGAAGTACCTGAGAATTTTTTCATCCTGAAACCTTAAGGTCAGCTGACTCCACCATGCTTTCATTCTTAGCCGCCTCTCAGAACACAGAGCTTGGGCTTCCCTGGTGGTGCAGTGGTTAAGAATCCCCCTGCCAATGCAGGGGACACGGGTTCGAGCCCTGGTCCAGGAAGATCCCACATGCCATGGAGCAACTAAGCCCACGCGCCACAACTACTGAGCCTGCACTCTAGAGCCCACGAGCCGCAACTAGAGAAAACCCGCGCGCAGCAATGAAGACCCAACACATCCAAAAATAAATAAAAATTTTAAAAACAAAAAAGCTCACAGAGCTCATCTGCACCTCTGTGATATTCCATGATGCATGCTTTATTTTTCTTGACCCCAACTCCCACTGCCCTTCCTCCTTTTCTGCCATTGTGTCTCCAAAATCGACATTCCTGTTAACAGACTTCCCTCATGCTCAGGCCTCTCACAGAATGATCCATTCACCCCTTTCCCTAATGCCGGGGGTTCCTAACCTGGGGTCCGTGTTGTCCATGGGTACACTCCAGGGAGTCTGCATGCATGGATGGGAAATAAATTACATCTATTTCTATTGCTCTCTGAAATGTAGCCATTTCTTTCATTATGAATGTAGGCCAAAAACCTACAGTGGTGGTAGTAGTACCACCTGTGATTTTTAATCAGTAGAAGTCACAGATACTTTTATAACACTATGGTTTATTGTTGATCTCAAGATACTTTGAAATTATGCAGTTATTAGACATGCTGATGGGATTTTATTTAAGGCTTTTAATAAAGCACATAAATTACTATATGACAAAGGTTTTAAGAATACTTTAAAAAACACATTTCCGTCTAATTGGTTTCCTTTTTAATCCTGTATTTTATGTTACACATTCTAAAATATCATTCTGAGTGGTGTCCACAAGCTTTACCCCATCCCATGGCAAAGCCCTGCAACCTTACTTTTATTTCCCAGAAGGGTGGTGCTTCCCCTGCAGCCCTGTAGTCTTGTGAATAAAAGTTGTTTGTTTTCTAAAGCCTGACATTTTATAAGGATGGTGAGTAGAGGGAGGCCAGCAACATTTTCCCAGTTCCTTACTGCTGCCTTCAAATAAATGTTCCCCATACATGCCAGCTCCTGGGTCAACTTCAGGATCTAAGAGGAAGGTCACTCTGACCTGCCATCAGAGGGCCCCAGCCTCCTCAAGTCCAGTTGACCTTTCTCTTTACCACTGTAACCACACCCTGAACCTTGTCACTCAGAACTGCAGCACCTCTAGAAACCTGAGGCTAAACTGTGCCCCAGGCACAACATCCTCTTCTTCTAGCTCTCACTCCCTAACCGTGTCACACCTATTCCCCATCCTTATCAACACTGATAGTGCTTTCTGTTTTTCCCCCCAAAGCATCAGAACCCTCAGGTTTCTACTTTCCTCCCAATCCAGCTAAACCTCTTTTCCCATCAAGGTTAATCCTTCCTCTTGTGATCTGGATTCCGGATGCTCTGTCTTCTTATACAGATGTATATAAAGTGTGTGTGTGTGTGTGTGTGGTTAGTCATTCCATACTCCCTCAAGTCACCTAGCTGCTCCTCCACTCTCTCCTTCCCAGTCTCTCTAAATTAATCATCTCAAGGATTTGTTGTCCAAGGCCCTGCCCTCAGTTTGTTCCTCTTTGTTTTCCATGGATAATCTTATCTTCCCCATTGCTTAAATCATGCTTTTATTGGCAAAACCTAAACCTATAAACCTCAAGTCAAATCTCTCTTCCAAATCCATGTACCTCTCTGCATCCAATTACTAGGCACCTACACTTGAATAAATTGAATATATCCAACACAAAACTCTTAACTGCCCATACCTGCACCTCAAGCTACTTCTCCTCAATCAAGATCTTCCTTGATTTACCCTCTTCTCTTCCTTCCTCTCCACATCCAGATGGGCCTACTTCCGAACTAGCTCTTAGTTTTGGCTGACCTTTGCCTCCAGATGACACGATTGCTCATCTGAATTACTGCAAAAGGCTCCTGACTGCTTTTCATCTCTCGAGACTTGCCTCTGGTAAATTAATCTGCTACACTGGGGAAATGGTCTTTCCAAAACTAATCCTTCATTGACTGTAACAGCAGAAAGATAACAAGTTTTGAAAGTTCAACCAACCTGGGTTTGAACCAGGCTCTAACCTTGGGAAAATTACTTAACCTCTTCCAATCTGAAAACTGGGTACGATACAATCCTGAAAAGTCACAATCAAGAAATCAAGCCCACGTATAGCAGATACTATGACACACACTAGTCCCTTAATAATTGGTAGTCACCATTATTCCTTCAAGAAAAAATTCAGACTTTCTAATATGATAGTCAAGGGTCTTAATGACCTTGCCTTGCCCTTCTGCCTCAGTGGTCACGGCTCACCAACCCACACCCTACACTCCAGCTACCTTGACCCTGCCATGTTCTCTCAGGAATGATGCCTTTAATTCTATCCTTCTTCAGAGAGCTCACGCCTCAGTTTAAGTGTCAACTCCACACATTCTTCCCCAAAGCCCCCCTCTCACACACAGCCCCGGAATGGATGGAGCAGTCCTGCTCTGTACTCCCACAGCACCTCGTGCTCACCTCCTTCATACTCTACTGAGACACTCTCTTGTACTAGATGGGCTCTCTAGGGCAGGGTGTCATCCTTTATATCTGTGTTCAACTCCTGTAACACAGTAGGTACTCCATAAATGTTATTAACATAAAACGTAACATGAATGGCTGTACTAAATGAAAGATTAAAAGAGAAAAACACGCACACAGATTTCCTCTCAACTGGCTTTTGTATGCAGATTTTTCCTATCTCCAGAAGCCGATTTTTACCACTTTGAATGTTGGAGTAACTATTCAATCACTTAATTTCATGGACCCAGTACTGACACGCCAGCCATAGATATAATAGACACTTTCAATATGAGTATAACCTATTTTATATTTATTCTACTCACTTTTCCTCATTCTTAAAGAAATCAATGTGTTGTAACAGATCAATACCAAACCAGCATAACTAAAGAAAAAGCACTGGTCACTTAGCCTCTAAATTTTTAGTCAAATTAAAGACAGTTATGCATAAACCACCTATCAATAAGTGACGATAAACGGGCATGGCAAGTTTCTGAAAGTTGTAGCAATAAGTAAGTGCTATGCTTTGCTCACCAGCTTCACGTAACCTGTTCCCTTCTGCTTTTGTCCGGTTAGTTCTTTCACTTCCAGCAAGATCTACCAAGGACAACTGGCTAATAGTGATTTGTTCTTTTTCCTGAAGGGAAGATTATAATGCCAGTAACATAAGTTATAACTGGTTTACAGTGTTCTTTAAATATATTCAAATCAAATTAAGTCTTACGAATACAATGTTTGCACAATACAAAATGTAGAGTAGGGGTGAAGGATACATGTTTTGGGGGAAGAGTTTGCTAAAAGCATATGATAAATATCCTCATGGCATTACTTGCCCATTGTCTGGTCTTCTACATTATACTGTAAGCTCCACAGGAACAGGAATTCTACCTTTTAACCACTTCATCTCCAGCACCTTGCACAGTGCCTAGCACTCAGCAGGAGCTCAATAAATGTCTGCTAAACAGTAAGTCTGCAACAAGGCTAAATACTTGTATAATGAGATATTTGATAATTTTACAGTCTAATAATTTCATAATACTCTAATAACATAAGAAATGAAAGTCAAGAGATACATAACTGATACTATAACATTAGATGTGATTCAATGGAAAGCAAGTGCACAGAGACTTGACTTAAAAGGATTTTCTAGCTAACATTTATCAAGTGCTGACTGTAAGCCAGGCAATGGACTAAAAACTTGACATGCCTCACCTCCTTTAACCCTCACAGCATTACAAGGAGGTTATTACAATTAGGTGAGACAAGCTAGTAAATGCCTGCGAATCAGAATTCAAATCCTGGTGGTCTTTAGTACCATGCTGAACCATCTACTCCTGCCATCTGAAAACCTTCGTGATATACCACAATTTCAAGATATGTTTTGAATGGAATTACATTTTAATAGCTTAAAGTTGTTAAATGATTTATATGTTCAGGCTCAAATGCTGTTACTAATTGATATAAGCCTTGTAGCATGACAGGCCCAGGAGTAAAGAGTGGTCAGCAGATGGGGGGCCCTACTGGCCTATCAGCCGAGAGAAGAACAATCTAGAATTGGCCACTCCTGAACTGTACCGAGCCTGGAGAGTTAACTGCTGACATTTAAACACCATTAACTGAATTTCTACATACAAAATGAGTCTTCAGAGATAAAATAAATGTTATGATTCATTGTTATATCTCCTCTATTAGATATTTATAAAGATTTGTAAACCTTTTTCACAACAAAATTCCAGGTTCTAAGATTTAATAGCCAGTTTCCCAAAACTATACTATCTAATTAATGGAACATTTTTTTTTAAATGTCATCACCTACACATATATTAATTCTAGAGCAATATTCAGTGTAATGAAACCTCCATGATTTACCTTTGATTCCCAAAATTAAGGATTCAGAACAAGAAAACACTCCACACGTTAAATCTTTACCTGTAAGACATTGTCTCCATCCGCATCCAAGGGAGCCTGAACTAATTTAATGTTGAACACGCTATGGGAACGGCTGGACTCACGATTCAAATGTGTGTTAGCAATTCGTCGCTTTTTCTGGCCTACAGTGACAGAGAAATCATTGATCAAATCTCTGAGTCATTTCAGTGTACATACTTTCTACCAAACCAAAAAGTATTGTCAAATTAGGGTACCAGCTTTCAGGATTATATTTATCACTGTATATATCTGTAATTCTAGCTCTGCTTCTAACCTCTCCAGAAAACTTCAAAAGCCTCCTCAGTAGATTTCACTTCTACTTCTGTACATCCTGCAACGTACATGTTATGGTTCTTATCTTCGCGAAGCAACTTAGATTGTGGAGGTCTATGGGAAAGAAAAAACATTAGTTTCCTATATTATGAGATACTGATATTGCAACTTAAGGACTAAAATGTCAGGCAACATGACATCCATTCTTATAACGGGAATAAGCCTAAGCAAGACTCCAGAAGCATATTACACTTGGATAAGAATAAGGATATACAGTAAAAAGATTAGTTACATAACAGGATAACAGGAATCTATTTTGTTTTAAAAGCTTTGCTCTAATTTGTTCTAACCAAAGCACATGAAACAACACTTACTAAACAATTAGAGATCAAAGTAGTAGTATAGCACCATCACATGCACAGGTTAAGCATCAAAATCTAGCATTTTCTTAATTTTAAAAGATCCACAGATAGAGCTGGTTCTGACTTCAGTGTCAACAAAAAACAAATTCAGAAGGAGTTTGGTATATACCAGGAGTGGCAATCCTTTCAAAGTGGCTGGTCAAGTTTTAGTCTAAGGTAGGATGAGGATGGGAAAGGTGCTGCCTGTTTGGCCTCAGTCTTGTGAATGGTGGGGGTAGAAACATTTACCAGCCACCATTATTCAGCAAATGGCAGATTTCTCAGGGACCAAGAAGGGGCTTAGAAGTAGCAGCCGGCCCAGTACCAATGAAAAACCACCTAACATGCAAACATGCCACAGATGCCAACCACTAGTATAACTGCACCCTTCTCCTTAAGAAAAGAGCACCATCACATACACAAAATCTGTGTTCCTCATGGGCGCGCTGCAACTATTCCACCTACCAAAGGAATAAGGTAGAAGTTACTGTTTCTATAGCAGCCATCTCACAGCAACACGTTCAGTCCAGAGTATCTGACAGTCACAATGAGTCGTATCTTAAAAATCCTCTGCTTCTAATATTTCTTCATTGTATTAAAAACTAAATCTTAAACCAGCTCAAAAAAGCAGGTTAATCACCACCCTAACAAAATCTGAATTCACTGCCAAATAAGCACCCTGTGAGTTCATTCAAGGAGTTACCAGAAAGGTTACAAGGCACAGTCACATTTGTCAGTCTTCACTTACATAACAAAACCAAGATAGGCTTCTTAGAAAACAATCTCATTTGGAACAAATCAAACAGAAGCTTGGCACATGTGCGGACATGAAAGTGATTGGTAGCAGTGAATGACATCACAAAAGTTTAGGAAAATGGGTATATACAACTGATACTTTGAAACAAATGGGAAAGTAATTAGTCTATAAATTGTTTAATATAAATAAAAGTGGGGGGGGCTTCCCTGGTGGCGCAGTGGTTGAGAGTCCGCCTGCCAATGCAGGGGACACGGGTTCTTGCCCCGGTCCGGCAAGATCCCACATGCCGCGGAGCGGCTGGGCCCGCGAGCCATGGCCGCTGAGCCTGCGTGTCTGGAGCCTGTGCTCCGCAACGGGAGAGGCCACAACAGTGAGAGGCCCGCGTACAGCAAAAAATATATAATAATTAAATAAAAGTGGGTATACAGACACCTGTTCTCAGTCTAATTGGTTTTACAAATCTAGCTGTTCCTCCACTAATATTCACTGAGACATATACACAAAAGTTAAGTAATACAACACAGGTCTTCATGTTATTTGTCTTGAGAGGCCCTGACAAAGACAGCATTGAAGATAAGCATTTAGCTTAAGAACAAAACCATCAAGGAACAAGATACCAGAGTCAGCTCTGGCACAAATGTAGTTTGTGATGACAGATTGTAATTGCTCTTCAGTCTCAGCAGGGCAAGACCCAAGGAAATCTAAGTAATAGTCTTTTAACTCTGGTAGAATGACAATACAGATGTCACTTCTTATTGGTCAGTGATGGAAGGTCTGTGACTATTAGTTGTGCAGACAACAGCTTTAGGCTCCATTCTGTGGGGATCACCAGAACACAGATTAGAGGCTACAGACTCCCACCATTAAGTGTCAGGTTCTTAAAGGTAGCCCCAGGGTACATCAACAGGGACACTTCTTTATACAATTAAGGTCCTTGTCAAAATACAGCCCAGGGCCCACATATATACAGTAGAATATTACTCAACCATAAAAAGAAACGAAGTTGAGTTATTTGTAGTGAGGTGAATGGACCTAGAGTCTGTCATACAAAGTGAAGTAAGTCAGAAAGAGAAAAACAAATACTGTATGCTAACACATATATATGGAATCTAAAAAAAAAAAAAATGGTTCTGAAGAACCTAGGGGCAGGACAGGAATAAAGACGCAGACGTAGAGAATGGACTTGAGGACATGGGGAGGGGGAAGGGTAAGCTGGGATGAAGTGAGAGAGTGGCACGGACATATATACACTACCAAATGTAAAATAGCTCGCTAGTGGGAAGCAGCCGCATAGCACAGGGAGATCAGCTCGGTGCTTTGTGACCGCCTAGAGGGGTGGAATAGGGAGGGTGGGAGGGAGACGCAAGAGGGAGGGGATATGGGGACATATGTATACTTATAGCTGATTCACTTCGTTATACAGCAGAAACTAACACAACAGTGTAAAACAATTATACTCCAATAAAGATGTTAAAAAAAAAAAATACAGCCCAGGGCCAAGAGTTTTTCAAAAGTAAAGTCTAAGGTAAATATTCTCCTTAGATGCCTTAACCCAGTGGTTTTCCTAATACAGCTACATATCTAGTTAATATACAGAACTATTCACCAAGCACCAACTGCATGACATATAAGTTATATTTCATTTTGAAAACAAAAGTAAGCTTTATCCCCATTTATAGCTGAGGAAACTAAACCTCACTGATGTGAAGTGACTTCACCAAGGTTAAGCAGCTAAGGGACTCTCTCCACTACTTACTTAGGCTTTATGGGATCAAACGGCACCTCTTCCAATAGGTCATATATGTAATTATTATATATTTCAATATAAGAGACAAATACACCGTAGACACTATCTTCATCAACCTCTTCTGCTTTGCAAAATTCTTGTACATTTATCATATCTGCAAACTCTGGATCTACTTGTCGTCTGAAAAAAGAAAGAAAAAGCCCCAGAGTCTCATCTTACACACTGTGAGTAAATAAATGACCTCCATTACAAGCAGGGATGCACAGAGCAACTTTATTCATACTCATGGTTGGGCCAACAGTTCTCCCATATCTCCCCAGATACACAACACAGGCTTTTACACCCTCTCTCACGAAGAGTGGCACCTTCCCTAAACAGTGATTCAAGGGCAGTGTGCTCAGAACCAAACAGAATATCTGAGCAAATAAACTTACTTAAGAACATCCCTCAACTTTGACCTCACTAAAGTCAACTGTGAGACCAACTTCTCCACTTCTGTTCACCATTCCCTATGCCTGAGGAAAGCACTGGACAGGGTTCCCATGAGGCCAGTGTTACAAATGTAATTACTTACTTGCTAGAGGGGGTCTTTGGATTAGGCGTGGCTTCTCTTTTCTGCCGTTCTAATAAAGCATCAACTTCACACTGTATATCCATACTATTCCTATCATTAGATTTAAAAACCTTAAAGTGGGGGCAAAAATCAGACCATAATTTTTAGACTTTGACTTAAATAGTAAGAAATAGACTTAAGAAATAAAAAACAATATTTAAACATATTTAAAGTTTCAAAAGGTATCCAATGCCTTAGTTCTCCCTTAATACTACTGTATTCACAGGTATTTTGGCACCTATACCCTCTAGTGAGTCACAACACACAAAAAATTAAACTTACGTATCGTTTAGCTTGAAACGACCCTATACTGTTAAAGAGCATGTCCAAACAGCGAGGAAGCAGTCCTCCTTCCCCTGGAGAACCAGTCATAGTGTGAGTTTTTCCACTTCCCGTCACACCATATGTAAAAAGGAGACCTACAATGTAACAAGTCACAGTTATATATTAAATGTCACACTTGGCTATATCTTAAAAGTCCTCCACGTATAGTATTTTTTGTATTAGAAAACACTTAAAATTAACTGCTCAACACCTCAATATATAAGGCAAATGCTAACAGCCATGAAAGGAGAAATCAACAGTAACACAATAGGGAGACTTTAACGCCCACTTACATCAATGGACAGATCATCCAGACAGAAAATCAATAACGAAACACGGGCCATAAATGACACATTATACCAGATGGACTTAATTGATATTTATAAAACATTCCATCCAAAAGCAGAATACACATTCTTCTCAGGTGCACATGGAACAATCTCCAGGACTGACCACATGCTGGACGACAAAACAAGCCTCAGTAAATTTAAGAAAACTGAAATCATATCAAACATCTTTTCTGACCACAACGCTGAGAGATTTGAAATCACAAGAAAAAAAACTGTCAAAAAAACCCAAATAAGTGGAAGCTAAACAATATGTTACTAAACAACCAATGGATCACTGAAGAAATAAATACCTAGAGACAAATGACAACAAAAACATGACAATCAAAAACCTATGTGATGCAGGAAAAGCAGTTCTAGCAGGGAAGTTTATAGCAATTAAAATCTTACCTCAGGAAACAAGAAAAATCTCAAACAACTTAACCTTACACCTAAAGCAACTAAAAAAAGAATAAACAAAACTCAAAGTGAGTAGAAGGAAAGAAATCATAAAGATCGGAGCAGAAATAAATGAAATAGAGATGAAGAAAACAACAGAAAAGAGCAATGAAACTAAAAGCTGGTTCTTTGAAAAGGTAAACAAGACTGATAAATCTTTAGCCAGACACATCAAGAAAAAAAAGGGAGGGCTCAAATCAAGAAAATCAGAAGTGAAAACAGAGAAGTTACAACAGACACCACAGAAATACAAGGGATCATAAGAGACTACTACAAGCAAGTGTATGCCAATAAAATGGATAACCTAGAAGAAACAGACAAATTCTTAGAAAGGTACAAGCTCCCAAGACTCAACCAGGAAGAAATAGAAAATATGAAAGGACCGATCGTAAGTACTGAAACTGAAACTGTGATTAAAACCTCCCAGCAGGGCTTCCCTGGTGGCGCAGTGGTTGAGAGTCCGCCTGCCGATGCAGGGGACTCAGGTTCGTGCCCCAGTCCAGGAAGATCCCACATGCCGTGGAGCGGCTGGGCCCGTAAGCCCTGGCCGCTGAGCCTGCGTGTCCGGAGCCTGTGCTCTGCAACGGGAGAGGCCACAACAGTGAGAGGCCCGTATACCGCAAAAAAAAAAAAAAACCTCCCAGCCAACAAAAGTCCAGGACCAGATGGCTTCACAGGCAAATTCTATCACACATTTAGAGAAGAGTTAACACCTATTCTTCTGAAACTATTCCAAAAAACTGCAGAGGAAGGAACACTCCCAAATTCATTCTACAAGGCCACTATCACCCTGATACCAAAACTTGACAAGGGTAACACAGAAAAAATTACAGGTCAGTATCTTTGATAAATATAGACACAGAAATTCTCAACAAAATACTAGCAAACCGAATCCAACAACACATAAAAAAGGTCACACACCATGACCACGCTGTATTCATCCCAGGGTTCCAAGATTGATCCAACATACATAAATCACTAAATGAGATACACCACATCAACAGAAGGAAAAAAACCTCATGATCATCAATAGGTGCAGAAAAAGCATTTGACAAGATTCAACATTCACTCATGATAAAAACCCTTATGGAACTGGATAGAGAGGGAACATATCTCAACATAATAAAAGCTATTTATGACAAACCCACAGCCAATATAATATTCAATGGTGAAAAGCTGAAAGACTTCCCACTAAAATATGGAACAAGACAAGGATGCCCACTCTCACCACTTCTCTTCAACATAGTATTGGAAGTCCTAGCCACAGCAATCAGACAAGAAAAAGAAATAAAAGGTATTTAAATTCGTAGGGAAGAGGTAAGATTGTCATTATACGCAAATGACATGATAATATATGTAGAAAACCCTGAAGACTCCACACTAAAACCGATAAATGAATCCAGCAAGGTAGCAGGATACAAGATTAACATACAGAAATAGGTTGCACTTCTTTACACTAACAATGAAATATCATAAATGGAATGTAAATAAACAATCCCTTTTAAACTCCCACAAAAAAATAAAATACTTAGAAATAAACCTCACCAAGGAGGTGAAAGACTTATATGCTGAGAACTACAAAACATTATTAAAGGAAATTAAAGATGATTCAAAGAAATGGAAAGATATCCCATGCTCTTGGATTGGAAGAATTAATATTGCTAAAATGGCCATACTACCCAAAGCAATCTACAGATTTAATATGATCCCTATTAAATTACCAATGGTATTTTTCACAGAAATAGAACAAATAATACCAAAATATACATGGAACCATAAAAGACCCAGAATTGCCAAAGCAATCCTGAGGAAAAAGAAAAAAGCAGGAGGCCTAACACTCCCAGACTTCACTACAAGGCTACAGTAATCAAAACAGCATGGTATTGGCACAAAAACAGATATACAGATCAATGGAACAGAAGAGAGAGCCCAGAAATAAACCCACACACCTGCGGCTTAAAGACCTAATTATAAGACCAGACACTGGGAGTTCCCTGGTGGCCTAGTGGTTAGGATTTGGTGCTTTCACTGCAGAGGCCCAGGTTCGATCCCTGGACTGCACCATCCCGCATGCCGCGTGGCATGGCCAAAATGAAAAAAATAAAAAAGAAAGAAAAGACAAGACACCATAAAACTCCTAGTAGAGAACACAGGCAAAACATTCTCTGACATAAATCATACCCATGTTTTTTTAGGTCAGTCTCCCAAGGCAATAGAAACAAAAGCAAAAATAAACAAATGGGACCTAATCAAACTTATAAGCTTTTGCACAGCAAAGGAAACCACAAACAAAATGAAAAGACAACTTACAGACTGGGAGAAAATATTTGCAAATGAGGCGACTGACAAGGGCTTAATTTCCCAAATATGCAAACAGCTCATACAACTCAATAAAAAAAAAAAAAAACCCAATAAAAAATGGGCAGAAGACCTAAATAGACATTTCTCCAAAGAAGACATACAGATGGCCAAGAGGCACATGAAAAGATACTCAATGTCGCTAATTGCTAGAGAAATGCAAATCAAAACCACAATGAGGTACCACCTCACACCAGTCAGAATGGCCATCAATAAAAAGTCTACAAATAGCAAATGCTGGAGAGGATGTGGAGAAACCCTCCTACCCCGTTGGTGGGAATGTAAATTGGTAGAGCCACTATGGAGAAGAGTATGGAGGTTCCTTAAAAAACTAAAAATAGAGCTACCATAAGATGCAGCAATCCCATTCCTGGGCATATATCCGGAGAAAACCATGGTTTGAAGGGATACATGCACCCCAGTGTTCATTGCAGTGCTGTTTACAATAGCCAAAACATGGAAACATAAATGTCCACTGACAGATGAATGGATAAGGAAGATGTGGTACATATATACAATGTAATATTACTCAGCCATAAAAAAGAATGAAATACTGCCATTTGCAGCAACATGGATGGACCTAGAGATTATCACACTCTAGGTATAATAGTAAGCGAAGTAAGTTAGAAAGGCAAATACCATGATAAAATTTATTATGTGGAATCTTAAATATGACACAAATCAACATATCTATGAAACAAAAACAGACTCACAAATACAGAGAACAGACTTGTGGTTGCCAAGGTAAAGGGGGGGTAGGAGAGGGAAGGAGTGGGAGTTTGGGATTAGCAGAGGCAAACTATTATATATAGGATGGATAACAACAAGGTCCTATTGTATAGCACAAGGAACTATATTCAATATCCTATGACAAACCATAATTGAAAAGAATATATATATATATATATATATATATATAACTGAATCACTTTGCAATACAGAAGAAATTAACACAACATTGTAAACGAACTACACTTCAATAAAATTTAAAAAAACACTCCCAACAAACAAAAATCCAGGACCAGATGGTTTCACAGGCGAATTCTGTCAACATTTAGAGAAGAGTTAACACCTATTCTTCTGAAACTCTTCTAAAAAATTGCAGAGGAAGGAACACTCCCAAACTCATTCTACAAGGCCACCATCATCCTGATACTAAAACCAGACAAGAATATCACAAAAAAAGAAAATTACAGACCAACATCACTGATGAATACAGATGCAAAAATTCTCAACAAAATACTAGCAAACTGAATCCAACAATAAAAAGGATCATACACCATGATCAAGTGGGATTTATCCCAGGGATTCAAGGATTCTTCAGTATCCACAAATCAATCAGTGTGATACACCACATTAACAAACTGAAGAATAAAAACCCTTTGATCATCTCAATAGATGCAGAAAATGCTTTTGACAAAATCAACACCCATTTATGATAAAAAAAACTCTCCAGAAAGTGGGCATAGAGGGAACACACCTTAACATAATAAAGGTCATGTATGACAAACCTACAGCTAACATCATACTCAATGGTGAAAAGCCTAAAGCATTTCCCTCTAAGATGAGGAACAAGACAAGGATATTCACTGTCACCACTTTTATTCAACATAGTTTTGAAGTCCTAGCCATGGCAATCAGAGAAGAAAAAGAAATAAAAGGAATCCAAACTGGAAAAGAAGAAGAAAACTGTCACTGTTTGCAGATGACATGATACTATACATAGAAAATCCTAAAGATGCTACCAGAAAACTACTAGAGCTGGTGAATGAATTTGGTAAAGTTGCAAGATACAAAATTAATACACAGAAATCTCTTGCATTTCTATACAGTAATAACGAAAGATTAGAAAGAGAAATTAAGAAAACAATCCCATTTACCATCGCATCAAAAAGAATAAAATACCTAGGAATAAACCTACCTAAGGAGGCAAAAGACCTGTACACAGAAAACTATAAGATGTTGATGAAAGAAATTGAAGATGACATAAACTGATGGAAAGATATACCATGTTCTTGGATTGGAAGAATCAATATTGTCAAAATGGCTATACTACAAGGCAATCTACAGATTCAACGCAATCCCTATCAAATAACCAATGGCATTTTCCACATAGCTGGAACAAAAATATTTTTACATTTGTGTGGAAACGCAAAAGACCCCGAATAGCCAAAGCAATCCTGAGAAAAACGGAGCTGGAGGAATCAGGCTCCCTGACTTCAGACTATACTACAAAACTACAGAAATCAAAACAGTATGGTACTGGCACAAAAACAGAAATATAGATCAATGGAAAAGGATAGAAAGCTCAGAAATAAACCCATGCACCTACGGTCAATTAATTTAGGACAAAGGAGGCAAGAATATATAATGGAGAAATGACAGTCTCTTCAATAAGTGGTGCTGGGAAAACTGGACAGCTGCATGTAAAAGAATGAAATTAGAACAGTCTCTAACACCATACACAAAAATAAACTCAAAATGGATTATTAGAGATCTAAATGTAAGACCTGATACTATAAAACTCCTAGCACACTCTGACATAAATCACAGCAAGATCTTTTTGGATCCACCTCCTAGAGTAATAAAAACCAAAACAAAAGTAAACAAATGGGACCTAATTATACTGTAAAGCTTTTGCATAGAAAAGGAAACCATAATCAAAATGAAAAGACAACCCACAGAATGGCAGAAAATATTTGCAAATGATGCGACCGACAAGGGATTAATTTCCAAAATATACAAACAGCTCATGCAGCATCACACACACACACAAAAAAACCCAATCAAAAAATTGGCAGAAGACCTAAACAGACATTTCTCCAAAGAAGACATACAGATGGCCAAGAGGCACATGAAAAGATGGTCAACATTGCTTAGTATTAGAGAAATGCAAATCAGAACTACAATGAGATATCGCTTCACACAAGTCAGAATGGCCATGATCAAAAAGTCTACAAATAACAAATGCTGGAGAGGGTGTGGAGAAAAGGGAACCCTCCTACCCTGTTGGTGGGAATGTAAATTGGTATAGCCACTATGGAGAACAGTACAGAGGTTCCTTAAAAAACTAAAAATAGAGCTACCATAGGATACAGCAATCCCAGGCCTGGACATATATCCAGAGAATACCATGGTTCAAAAGGATACATGCACCCCAATGTTCACTGCAGCGCTGTTTATAATAGCCAAGACATGGAAGCAACCTAAATGCCCATCGACAGGTGAATGGATAAAGAAGATGTGGTACATATATTAAATGGAATATTACTCAGCCATTAAAAAGAATGAAATAATGTCATTTGCAGTAACATGGATGGACCTGGAGATTATCATACTAAGTGAAATAAGTCAGACAGAAAAAGACAAATATCATATGATATTGCTTATATGCAGAATATAAAAACTTAAAAAATGATACAAGTGAACCTATTTACAAAACAGACTCACATACTAAAACAAACTTATGGTTACCAAAGGGGAGGGATAAATTGGGAGTTTGGGATTGACATATACACACTACTATATTTAAAATAGATAATCAACAAGGACCTACTGTATGGCACAGGGAAATCTACTCAATATTCTGTAATAACCTATATGGGAAAAGAATCTGAAAAAGAATGGATATATGTATAACTGAGTCACTTAGCTGTACACCTGAAACTAACACAACACTGTAAATCAACTATACTCCAATGCAAAATAAACATTAAATTTGAAAAAATAAGCAAATTTAAAAAATTAAAATAACTGCTCAAAAAAGCAGGTTTAACACTACTCTGGCAAATTAAATGGGTTCAAGGCTGAACATAAACCAAGTATCTAAGCATCAAAAAAGTTTTATCAGAGGGAGAAAAAGAAAAATTCAACAAAACTCCAAGAATCATACCATTTTTGCCGTGAATGAGGTCATCTACCAAGGGATTAGCCACAACATCAAAGAGCTCCTTTTGGGTGGTATGAGTGCCAAATACTTGTTTAAATGAATACTGAGTCTGTGGAGAAGAAAAAAAATAAAAAGCACATAAACGGAATTCCACTATAGCTAGGCTAGAAATATATCTGTTTAAACATATTCAGATGTTTCCTTATGAACAATTAGATCTGGACATGAAAAAAAAAATACCAATAGTCTTTAAACTTGGAATCTTTAAAAAATTCATGACATACTTAAATTTTACCAATTACAAACTGGTAAATATTTACAGTTATAACTACTGAAGAGACTGCAGAAAAGTCTTGTCTACTAATGCCTCATAGACTAAGGCTGATTTTGTTTTAATTAAGTGACAAAGGAGTTCAAAAGGTATTACAACGATTCAGTCATAGACTTGTGAAAATCCTCAAGCATTACTTCATATACTATTTTACTACTATCTATTTTTCTTTACAAAGGTGTCATTTAAAATGGCATAGCAGTATAAAACCAAGAGTTTTGATGTACTGCCTTTTTTTTCTTTTTTTTGGTGGTACGTGGGCCTCTCACTGCTGTGGCCTCTCCCGTTGCGGAGCACAGGCTCCGGACGCGCAGGCTCAGCGGCCATGGCTCACGGGCCCAGCCGCTACGCAAGCATGTGGGATCCTCCCGGACCGGGGCACGAACCCGTGTCCCCTGCATCGGCAGGCGGACTCCCAACCACTGCGCCACCAGGGAAGCCCTGTACTGCTTTTTTTAAACTAGCAAATAACTGTCAATATAATCTCATCTGAGTTTTGTTTGTTTGTTTGTTTATTCTTGGCTGTGCCACAAGGCATGCAGGATACTAGTTCCCTGACCAGGGATATAACCCAGGTGCACTGGAGTGGAAGCATGGAGTCTCAACCACTGGATCACCAGAAGTCCCTCATCTGAGTTCTTCTATGAAATAAATTTTAAATAAACTGTGACCTTTAAAAAAGAAATAATACTTCAATTATCAAATCTTTCAAAATATGACTATTATTATAAAGCATATCTATATTATCAGAAATATTACCAAACTCCTACTTGGAAAATAAGACTGGGGACTAGGGTATATATTTCAGGGTAAATTAAAATGCCCTAATTATCCAGGGACTGGAGTTCTATTCTTTCTATTTTTGTTATTTTCTAGCTTTATTAGTTTGTAGACATTGCAATTGTTCCTGTAGGCTTCCTGAATTTCTTGCAATTTTTGCTCCATGAATGTCAATGCTATTATTTGGTGCATGAGTATTCACTAGAATTTATTATGGATTATAGCCTTTGTCACATGGCCCCTTTTCCCTGTTTTATAACATTTTATCTTAAATTCAACCTGCTCACATATCAATATCATGACCCTTATGTTTTTAAAATTAGCAGTTTTGTCCCCCAGAAGGAGACACGTATAGATTAGGACTCAAATACATCATCACAACAACAGCAACTTGCACTTAACACTAACCGTGTCCCAAGCGCTGCCTTAGCATATTAGTGAAGCATTTTTACAACCTCTGAGGTAGGTACTATCAGTTATTATGGCTCATTTTATAACTTGTTAAAGATCACACACCTGCTTCAGCTAAGCCAACTCTCACCTGTGTAGAAGTTTTTATTCCAATCCTACAAAACAGCTTTAGAGTTCACAGAAAGAACAAAGAATCTTAGAACTGAAAAGATACATACAGGTTAGTGCTGACAGGTCAATGACCTCCAAGTCCTCATGAACAATCCCCACCCTCTTCCAGGTGAAGAAAACTGAGGCAAGAAGGAACTTGCCCAAGCTCATGAAGCTAATTAGTGTCAAAGCTATTTCCATTCCAACACTTCTTCCATTATCCAGTGTTGCCTTCTGTCAAAAAGCACTGAGAACTTTTAATCCCCACCAAACTTTTAGTACTATTTACACATACATGAAATTAACTCTAATAAAGAAGTAAAATTCAATAGGTCAGTTCTCAACTATTTTACATTCTCAAAGGCCTACTCCTCCATGAAGCCTTCCCAGGCCATTCCTTCATGCTTAATCCGTATCTACTGAGTGTTTGGCAAACAGGACAGATAAGGTACATATCCCCTAGACGTGTATATTACATCAGGGGAGAGACAATAAACAAGTAAATAAATCTATAGGTTGGGGTAAGTGCTGTCAAGGAAGTATAGAGAGTACAGACCGCGAGAGAAGTGGGAGGGGTGCTACTGCTTATGGGGGTAATCTGGACACACTCTCGGAGGAAGTGATTTAAGCTAAAACCTAAGGATGAGAAGTCATCCCGCTAAGAGCTAAGGGAAAAGCCCTGAGGCAAGATTCTGGCTTATCGAAGCAATTTAGGGTTGTATGAGTACTAAGAGGTGAGGTGGAGAGAGAGAGAGCAGGAAGATTACGCAGGATTGTGCCCATTTAAAAACTTTATTCCTTAGAAGGTTTTAAACAGGAAAATGGTGACCGGAAGGGGGGGCATAAATTAGGGTTGGGATTAGCAGATACAAACTGCTATACATAAAATAGATAAACAACCTCCTACTGTATAACACAGGCAAGTGTATTCAGTATCTTGTAGTAAACCATAATGGAAAAGAATATGAAGAAGAATATGTACATATATGTATAACTGAGTCACTCTGCTGTATACCAGAAGCTAATACAGCACTGTAAATTAATGGTACTTCAGTTAAAAAAAGAAAAAGGAAAATGTGAGGTCTGATTTCTGCTTTAAAAGATGACTGGCTGCTCTGTGGCAATGGATTAGAGAAGATTCAGAGTGGAAGCAGGTGGTCCAGCTGGCTTCAGCATAGTCTTGTTAATGTTACTCAAAGTGTGGTCAGCAGGCAGGCCAATGCCCCTCTGAGAGCTGTCTGTCTCCAGTCCAGGGGGAGGTAATTACAGAGGTGGAGGGTAAATGCTTAGAACCTCTGTAGCCATTTCACACAGCTGCAACGTCCCAGCATGTGATCAGTGGGGCTTATCTCTGAACAGATTATAAACCAGTCCTCTGCTGTCTAACTTTGCCTAACAGTTGTCTAACAGGTTCTTGTGGCAAAGCTGCACAAAAGTATCAGTCACCATGCACTGAAAATAAAAAAGCTGCTTCTTCACCAGTTTGAGAAGCACTTGTCTCCGTTAATTAATAACAGGCCTCAGACGAGGGTAGTGGCAGTGGAGATAGAACTGAAAGGACAGTTTCCAGATACACACTGGAGCAGAACTGAAAGGATCTACTAATGAATGGGATATGAGGGGGGACAAGAGAAAGGTAGGGACAGGGTGTCTGGTTTGAGCAAATAGATGGTGGAGGTGCTATTTATTGACAAGAAAAAACAAGGGAGGAAGTGATCTAGAGGGGAAAAAACTCAAGAGTTCTTTTGGACATGCCTGTGTGACATCCAAGCAGTGGACGTTCAAGTTGAGAGTTAGAGAAAAGATTTAGTCTGGAGATAAAAATTCCAAAATTATTACCATATCATCAACATGTAAAGCCATGGAAAAGTATAGATAGGGAAGAGAGCCCTGGGTATAGCCCAACCTGGTATTTAGAGGTTGGAAAAGGAGGCGAAGCCTGCAGACAGTGGCCAGTGAAAGACAGAACATGGAGAATTGGAGCGGAAGACAGGACAGTGCTGCTGAGAAATAGATCATAATGAAGACAAAGAGGTGTCCATCACATCTAGCAGCAAAGAGGCCACTGGTGGGCTTTTGACTAGCAATCTCCCCCGAGTAGCGTACACGAAAGAGTGAAGGCAGCTTGAAAGAAGAGATGACACCCTGAATTAATACCTTTTTCTGCATTCCCAGAGTCCATTTCTTTAAACACACCTCTGTCTTAACAATGAGGGTCACTTGCTTAGCATCTATGCTCCCAGCTAAGTTGTAAGCTCCATAAAGGCAAGGACCGTGTCTTACTCAGTTTTTAAAGTCTCCTTCTATGCTCCAGCTTAGCACATGTTTGTGGAACTGAACTGAACTCTGTTTAACATTTTACTAAAAATAAAAACACTTCATAAGAGAGCAATACAAGTATACAACGCCGGGGCTTCCCTGGTGGCGCAGTGGTTGAGAGTCCGCCTGCCAAGGCAGGGGACGCGGGTTCGTGCCCCGGTCCGGGAAGATCCCACATGCCACGGAGTGGCTGGGCCCGGGAGCCATGGCCGCTGAGCCTGCGCGTCCGGAGCCTGTGCTCCGCAACGGGAGAGGGCACAACAGTGAGAGGCCCGCGTACCGCAAAAAAAAACAAAAACAAAAACCATCAAGTATACAATGCCTATTAAATGTTATTTCAATCCCACACATGAAACTATATATATACATGTAACTGCCTAGCACAATCAGATATCATTCCACATTAATATATGCTCTAAAAAGCTATAATTATCCAATACAAGAAATTAATCATCTAAAAGCAATCTTCTAACTCCAGTATACCAAAGGTGTGTCTGTACAGCCCAGAAATTAAAGACACTTTTGATATGGTGGTTAGAGTGAAGTAAATAAGTCTTTCAATAAAGTGGAAACACATGAATGTTGTTAAATGGAAAACATGGAAAAGTCATTTAGGAAAGAACCTATCAATTAAAAACAGCTGCTTCCAATAGGAATTACCTCCTTATAGTCTCCATTTCGGTTGAGCCTGTAACCCTCAGGAGGATGAAGTTGAACTGTTGTATTACTGATCACCTCTATGCAACACTCTTGCTCTGGGAGGCTCAGTGGGCGTACCCTGCAGTACACCTGAAAATACACGAAGGTGCTTAAAGAACAAAGGTTGACTTTTTACCTGACTTTTCATTCATTCATTAATTCATTCATTCATTCAAACATTTGGTCTCTAAACTTAAGTATATATACTTAGAGCTGTGAAAGCCAAGATCTGCTACCCTGCTACCCAATTTGCTAATTGTCAAATGCAAACAGATATTTTAGATATGAATTTTAAATGCACATGATATCAAAACAATGAGAATTATTTGAAAAGCTGTTAGGATTGTCTGGAATTGGATGTCAATTAAAACTTGCTAGCTTAACACTTCATACACTAAGGTGCGCGATCTGAAATATGGTCTTCTTTTTTTTTTATTTAATTTTATTTATTTAATTTTTGGCTGCGCGCAGGCTTTCTCTAGTTGCAGCAAGCGGGAGCTACTCTTCGTTGTGGTGCACGGGCTTCTCACTGCAGTGGCTTCTCTTGTTGCCGAGCACGGGCTCTAGGTGTGCAGGCTTCAGTAGTTGTGCCGCACGGGCTTAGTTGCTCCGCATCATGTGGGATCTTCCCAGACCGGGGCTCGAACCCATGTCCCCTGCATTGGCAGGCGGATTCTTAACCACTGTGCCACCAGGGAAGCCCGAAATATGGTCTTCTTAATCAGTGATAGGGTTGGGGAAAAACTTTTCAGCGCTATATGCAAAGCATCTGGTTCCCACAACTCAAATCAAGAGATACATTCCAGTGCCGATGAAGGGAAGATTTAAAAAGCCCAGAGCAAACCACCTTTCTTTTATTTGCCATTTGCTTTTAAAAGCAAGTTCCCAAGCCTGCATGAAGAATTCTCCAAGATAGTTGAAGAATATTTTTTCATTATCTAACTTTTCAAATATAATTAGTTATAGGAAGTATGCAACTGAAAACCAAACACTTCATTTTACTGGGCTAATGTATCCTACATAGAAACAAAGTTTCAAAGCTGGAACCAGCCTAAATAATTTAGTATCATCCTTTCAGCTAAATGTTCTTTGACTCCACTTCCACGTCTCCATCCCTTTCAACCATAAGCATAAGACACAAAAGGACTGAAGAAAGAAGACACACACAAATTCACAGGGAGACCTTACCCCAACGGGGTCTTTAAGACTCGTTTGGGATCCTTTTTTCACTGGTGGTTTCCTGGGTGTCTTAGTTCTCCTGGTCATAGATACAAAAACATTTCAGTTCAACACTAATATATAAAAGCTTCACCTGTAATTCATACAGAGATGACCTTCCTAGGGTTTATAAAATTATTCTTTAGCAGTTCCACAACACTATATCCCAAATAACATGAATAAGAATAAATTTCCTTAGTAGAAGAGTGTTTGCGGCATGGATAACTCAAAAGTAATTAAAATTTGGCTTAGGAGACATTTTTGCTACTAAAAAATAGAGATAACAGGCCCAAAATGGGGTCACTTGTGCTAAGCCCCACATCACCAAACTGACTCTTCATACCTAACTTACAGTTCCAACCTCTCCCAGGAGTAGAATCTTAAACCAGTCAATATGGAATCACCTGGTCAGCGCTAGTGAGGTAATCTGCCTGATAGACCCCTGCCATCCACTAAATGATGTTCACCTTGCCACAGACAATCCACTCATTGCTAGTATAATTCCCTTGTTCCATCCCCCTCTGCCTATAAAAAAAACTTCCATTTTGTACAGCTCTTAGGAGCACCTTTGTGTGTGCCAGATAGGATGCTGCCTGATTCATGAATCATTGAAAAAAGCCGGTAAGGTCTTTAAAATTTACCTAGTTGAATTCTGTTTTTTAATATCTATTTATAGTTCTGTATGTAAAATAGCTTATTCTCTTGAGCAACAATTTTACAGACACTACAAATTTGAAAAATCTACAGATAGTTGACCACACTTATCTCGAAAGTCATTTACGTAGGTACATAAGCACACACGCCGTGCCAACAGCCCACTGCCAAGGCAGACTGACAAGTGATCAACTTCAATAAATTATAAAAATGCAGAGGGAGGAATCCATTCTTTCATCAAGATTTGTCTTTACTTTCAAGCAACAAGGGATTACTGAATTCTCAAAACTATCATCCTTTGTCCTCAAACAAAATGTGGTCCCCAAACTGCAATTTCGTGCTCTCTTAAGTAGGGACAGTAGAAAAAGATATTTTGCTTTATTCACCATTTCTCTAGCATGCCACTCTCCCCTTTCCCACATTTATCTATAGACTAGAAAAACATTTAACACTAAGTGAAATTACTGGCTTGGATTTTAGGTTATTAAAATACTTCTTCAACCCCTTCCCAGATGAAACAAGCAAAGTCGTGTTTTAAGTGCAAAATATTACGGTAGGTTTACTTAAACTCAACATTTTTCCCCAACGATTTCGACTTTAGCCTCTTAAGAAAACAAGTTGCCTTTGCAAACGACTAGCTACGTGATGGTGCTAATTATAAAGGCAGCCCTCTTCTTTGCACAAGTATTTCTTTACCCAGCAGCAGTCAAGGAATTAGGCTGAGCTGCAAACGTCACCGACTCCGTGAGGAATGTGGGCGTGGGCTTTTGTGTCGGCGGCGGGGCTGCCTGAGACCCAAGAACAGAGCAAAATAACTGGCCTTCACCCGGGGGTGGTCGCGGCCCTCAGGCTACTGCGCTAGGCTAAGAAAATCACGCAGTGCGCTCGGACGCCGGGGCTCTCCGGGGGCTGAGACCACCTACCCAACGCCAACCCCAGGACACAACACTCGGCGCACCCATGAGACGACCCCCGGCCCGCACTAACTCCGCAAAATGCAACCCGTGGGTGCGGGCGGCAGGGGATGGAAAGGGAAACTTAAGAAAGGGTTGAGGCGGCGGTCCCGGAGCCAGGTGGAGGGCGACCTGGCTAACCCGAACTGGGGTTGCCGCCCAAACTTCCCCCTCCTCCCAACTTGGGGCCGACATTTCCTGGCCGAGCGAAGCGAGGGCGGCGAGCCGGGCGCCCGACTCCGGGCGGCGGGGAGCCGGACGGGGTCGACGCGGACGGGGTCTCCGCGCCCGGGCTCCCCCTGGGCGGTAGTGATGGGGGCTCCCTCCCACTTTGGGGGCCGCGGCCCGGGAGACGCGGGGCTCGGTACCGACGGCGTGTCCCGGGGCCTGCTGCGGCGGCAGGAGACGCCGGCCCCGGCTCCGCGGCCCGGTACTCACGCTGGCTTCATGGCAGCAGGCTCCGCGCTGCCCAGACGTGCGAGCGGGACGCCGGACTCGGTCGGGCGGGCTGGCGAGGACGGCGGGCCGCAAGGACCGGCCGCGGGCACCGGGGCTCGGCAGCTCAGGCGTGGCGCTCAGAAAAGCCTAGAGAAGCAGCTCCGGGACCAGGTGAGCTCGCGCCCGGCGCATTTCAAACGGGCCAATCAGTGCCCGCCTGCGGGAAAGGGGCGTGGCCTCAGGAAGCGCGTGCGTCTCCCGGAGAGGCGCTCGTCTCCTAGGCGACCGACGCAGAAAGGTCAAGGGCTGTCTGCGTGTCTGGGCTTCAGGGCTGGAGGGGGAAGCGGAGCTCAAATATTAGAAAATACAACCCCTTGAATTTTCTGAGGAGGACACTGAGAGTTTCTTCTCCCACAGCACAAGAAGTCCAATGGAAGGGCAAATCCAGGGTTGATTCATAAGTCAGCAGTGTCGTTCCGGCCCAGGAGTGTCCTATCCTCGGGCCGTACCCTGCGCAGAGTCTCAGACTCCCTCTCTGGCTTCCAGAGCATCACAACACCTTGGCTTCCTTTCTGTCTCTTCCTCAACCTTCCTGGGATCTCCCTCTCTAAAACCTCCAGCTCCTTCCAGAACCAGTCTTTTCTAAGATGAACTGATTCTATCTCACTTCGACCTTTGCGCCTAAACCAATGACTATCAAATACGCATCTACATCTGTGCTCTCATGGAACTGTAGTCCCATCTCCTCAACTTCCTATAGGACCAGACACCAGTAAGGATACACATAATTAATATCCTCGGCCCATAATGTTCCACATAAAGATGGTTCCAATCTCTGCTGTTACAAACATACAGTGAATAAACTTGGAAATTCATCATTTTACACAATGGCTGTGTTAAAGAGTATATGTGTATGTAATATTTCACAGGTATTGCCAAATTGTCCTCCACAAGGGTTGTCCAAAGGCACAATCCCACCAGCCATGTATGAGACCACGACCACCTGTTTCTCCACAGTTCTCAGATAGCAAAGTGTTACCAAACTTTTCTGTGACTGTTGATCTAATAGATGAAAAAAAGTCACCAATTTAAATTTCTCTTCTCTTATGATGAATGAGGTTGGGTGTCTGTGCCTATGTTCAATAGCCATTTGTGTTTCCTTCTTTGAGAACTATGTTCATAGCCTTTGCCTTCTTCTATTGGGTTTTTCTTATTGATTTGTAAAAGCTCTTCACATATTAAGAAAATTGGTCCTCATCCAAAATCTGAGTTCAAAGATTTGTATAGTTCATAACTTGGTTTTTATTTTAATTAGTTTATGTTGTTTTGTGACAGCTTAAGAAAAAACTTAAGGTAGCCAAATTTATCAGCCTTTTCTTTTGGGGCTTCTGTTTTGTGCCATACTAGAAAAAAGTCTTCCCCACTCTAAGATAAATTTTTTTAATCTTTTATTTTTCCTAGTGCTTTCATTGCTTTGTTTTTTATGTTTAAGTCTTTGAACCATTAGAACTTTATTTGTTGTCAAATGAGAGGTCTGTATTATTTAGGAATTGGGCTGGGCTGCTGGCCACTTACCTCTTAATTACACTGCAGCCTGGCTTTGGCCTCAGTCTTTCCACTGGAACTCTTCTCACCAAGAACACCACCTCATTGATGCTAAATCTATTTGATCCTTCCCCACCCTTATCTTACTTGACCTCTTAACACACTAAAAAAATTTCCCATTCCTCTCTTCCTGTGCCTTTGTTTTACCTCCTAGCTTTCTAACCCCTCTTTCTCAGCCTCATTTGTGAGTTCTTTTTTCTCCCTTAAATACTGTGGCTTAGGGTTTTCACCTGGTGGTCACTAGCTGTGCCCTCTCTGCAGGCACTCCCAACCATTCCTATGACCTCACATTTGCTCTTCTGAGCTCCAGAGTCATATGTCCAACAGCCTACTGAATTCTCCACCTGGGTGCCCCACAGGCACCTCACACCTAACACATCCTGATCTCTTCCCCTGAACCTATTCTCCCTCAGTGGATGGCATCACCATCTATCCACCCACCACAAGGTACCATCTTTGCATTCTGCCTCTCCTTCTGTTCCAACGTTCAGTCACCAAATCTTGACAATTCTACCAACTAAATAACTTTCAAACCCCTCCTCTCTGTCTCCTCGGCCACTAACATCTCTTGTCTGGATGACCGCAACAGTATCCTAACAGGCTTCCCTGCTGCCATTTTCCAATCCTGGTTCCATTTTGCAACCAGCTCACCACTAAATCACAGATCTGATCATATCATTCCCCTGCTTGTAATACTACAGTAGTTCCCATTGCTGGAGACCCTCAACAGGCCCTGGGGCCCTTCCTCTCCAAGCTCATCACCTATCATTTCCCCTTGCATCCCTCCAGCCATGATGACCTTCAGTGCCCTGAACACACTGGGCTCACACACCATTCCCTCTGCTGTTAAGCTCTCCTCCCTCCCTTCCTCTGACAATGCCTCCTTACCCTCAGTTCTCAGCAGATCTTCTGCCAACGACCCTCCTCTGGATGCTGGACCCCTGTTCTCTATCCACAGTGCGCTGCACTCCTCCAGTCACTGCACCTGTTGATTTGCTTTGGAGCTCGCATCCCAATTTTCAGTCGCTGCTTATTAGTCTCCTCTACCAGCTTATCCCCACATCCTCAATAGATGGCGCTGTTGCACCCCCCGTGCCCAGCAATGAAGATGTTCCATACATGTTTGAAGGAATGAATGAGCCCATCCCTTCACAGAACACCCCAATGGAGGGCTCAGTTACAATACACCACCCCCAGCTTTTCTTTTGGCCAGTTTCTTCTTTCTCACTCATCTATATCCTTATTAAAGCTCACTGACTTAATTTTTAATGCCAATTCATTATATCATTTTCTCTGTTCAAAAATGGTCAAGCACTCCCCACAGCTGGTAAAAGATTTGCATTTTCCCCTAGAATTAGAGATCCAGACCAGGGTGAGGGTAGAAGAGGGG